AAGGACCCATTGAGGGTTAATCTTATTGATTCTGGAGAGAGCTGGAAACCAAAGTGTTCTAGCCATCCAACAAATCAGTAACTTGGAGAACAGAAGAAATTCTTGTCCCTTTTCTAAATTTTGTATTACTGTTTATTAGTATATATTCGGTGACATTTTACATTAACTGCACCTACATAATACATTTATAATGCATCCATATAACATTCATAAGAGGCATGTAAGTATACCTTAATATCCTAACATACCTCAACAGCTTTAATATACATTAATAACAAAAATTATTTAATAACAAACATTATAATTGTATAATCATATAATGTTTGTAATTAAAATGTATGAAAGTAGAATTTCATTAATTTCGATTAAAAGAAATTAAGTGTGTAAAGGGTACTTTATAATTTCATGATATTCATGACTCTGTCAATTTACGTTTGGTTTATGTTGCCCCTTTTCCACAGGAAGGTATTTATTGTTTTTGCATATTTAGCTGTTGATGTGTATTAGTATTTTTGAGGATTCTGCTGTAGTACCTGCATGATTTGACCCAAGAGCCAAATGTTTTTTCTTTACTTGTTACTGTTTGCTGATTAAGTTTGTCTATTTTTTAACATTAAATAAAAAATATACATTGCAAAAGGAACTCAAATTTAATTTAGATTAACAAAATGAACTGAAATTTAAGGGCCATTCTCGAATCAGATCTGAATGGTGCACATCCATAATTCTTATGTTAAATCGTGTTTTTTTTTTTCTGAGCAAATATACACTGACTGCTCAGATAAATAACGCTAAAAAGAATTTTCTTTTGTTGATTAAGATTTTTGCATATATATAGCAGCTCAAATATTTTTATTTCACTTGTTTTAAAGAGGTTGCAATGTGTAACATTAACATCTGTATAAAGAGAAGGTTACGCTTTTGGCTGAAGATTACTGACAGCAAGCAAGATGTAACAAACTGTGTAATAATGTGATGCAGTGCATGTTCATGTATAAATGTATCAATGTAACATCAGGAGGGGTCCATCACAGCCCCGCCACCATCTCTTTGCGCTGCTGCCATCAGGAAGGCGCTACAGGACTATTTATGGCGGGAACAGCTTCTCTCCCAGGGCCGTTACCACACTGAGCCAGACACTGACATAACCCCAGGATCCCGCTGTTTCATCAGTACAGTTACTGTGCAGTGTTTTCATAAATAAAGGCACATGTCACTTTATGCTGCAGTCTTCTCTAGGTTTTGTATATGTTTGTATATCATATATTTATGTTTAATAATTATTATATTTAACATTACACTCATAACTAAAATCCACATCACATAAGTAAGATGACACTTGCCTCCTATTCTTGCACACTTATTTTTACATATTTCAGCTATTTCTTTCTGTAATAACACTAAAAATATTGCAATTTAAATAGCAAAACATTTTTTTATGATTTTTGTTGAATGTTGTTTAGAAAAACATTTATGGAGCAAAGCAGACAATCAGGTATCTTTGCTAATTTTATATTGACGCAAACGCAACTCTCAAGCATATTTTACAGACAATAATCTTCCTGACAGTATAATAAAGCAAATATGAAAATAGTTGGAGTCTCATTTACCTGTGATTATGACAAAGGTTCCATTCCCAAAATGAATTTCATTATAGGACTCAGCAGCACAATAATACACTGCAGAATCTGATGGCTCCGCGTTGGAAATAGTGAGGTTAAAACTCCCCTCTGCATTTTGTAAGGAGTAACGTTTTATGTTTTTATATTCCTTGTAAAATTCACCAGGTACGTAGCGAAGTGCTTTCGCCATGAGCTGGGGCTTCTGACCAACAGTTTGCTTAAACCAAGCAACAGAAGTTCTTTCTTCTGGACAGAAGCATGTCAGGGTCACACTGTCTCCAAGTTGAACCCTCATCAGGAGACTGGGCTGATCAACATCCTCAGCCAGTGCAGTGTCTGGAAAAACAGAAAAACAACAAATAAACGTGACATATATCATAATAGTAAGCAAAATAACTATTAACTATGATGGAGATTAAATGACCACTTATTACACTGATCACATTATACAGGATATATGAAAATATTAAAATCCAAAAATAATTTATAATTTAGGATCCTACTAATGAAAATGAGAAGACCAAAGAGTCTGAACATCTTTGTGGTTCCACTTGTTTAGAATAAACTGCTCTGCTGCTAAGTGAGAGGTCATGGTCGTGGTCGGGGTGAAAGTGCAGGAAACAGAGAGGTACAAGATACACATCAGGCTGATCTGATTGGCTGTTCACACAGGAATTTAAGTAATAGTAAAAAGGGATTTTAGTCTACACTTACAGTATTAACTTACTCCTTAACTACCAGTTAAAATGAGAACAATTAGATAAAGAGGAACAGATACTGAGCATATGAAGTTCTTTGTACGGAGTGCTGAGACACTGTGGGAGGGCATTTGCTAATCATCTCTCTCAGACAAGCTCAGCACAGTCTTAGTCTTTTATCAATCTGGTATTAGACAGTCTCTCATATCACACAGTTCTTAAGTTTTCTAAAGTATTAGATCATATAATTGCACTCAAAAGACAGTTTAAATATTCTTTCCACCATGCAAACAGAACTGAAATTGTAGCTTTACTGCTTACATTTACACAATTGCATTTAGAGCAAGTATTTTAATAGGTGTACATGAGAGTAAATGGTGAATCAGTTTATTTGCTCTCTAGCCACATTAAATC